AAACACATGAAATTGTGAAAGCAAAGTATGACTATCAGATTGTTGTCTTCTAAACTCCTTAAAACTTTTATTGGCATTTCTCTCTTTATTAAGTAATAGGTTAATACATCACCATAAATACACACACATTAGCGAAGATACAGGCTGTCAATTCAGTATGTGTAGACTTACAATGTACCTTACCTCTGTGATTCCTTTTGTATTAAATTCATGCTTCAGCTTTAACTTTTAAGTTTTTATTCGGTAGCTTGTCTGAAAGTTGTGGTTTGGTTTGTTTCCTTTGCAGCTGACCCCCTGGTTGGAAGTATTGCCACTCAGTATATGACTAACAGAGCAGAGCATGACAGAATGGCCAGACAGTGGACCAAAAGATACGCTACATAAATCAGCTTTTTGTCAAACCCTTACATTATTTGTCTGTGATGGAAAGAGCTGCTTATGATTTTGAAGGGGTGGGGGGAGGGAGGGTGCTGGTAAAGAGTAGGGTATTTCTATAACAGATTTTATTCAGTCTTTTATTTCCTAAGATTTTGTTGTTGTAACTTAAGGTATCTTGCTACAGTAGACAGCTAGGATTGGGAATAGCCTATTTTAAAACTGTAATTAGTTCAGCAATATTAGCTCACATATAGTACCAAGAAGAATGTACACTTCTTAGACTTGGTTTTCAGTTTGCTTGCAATATGTAAGAGATTAAAACAGCTTAATTTTGTACAGGTACATATGTTGACATTTATGTAAAAGTCCTTTCAAGACTCTACACACTGTTTTTGCTTTTTGTTTGGGGTTTTGGGGGGGTTATTTTTGTCCTGGGTTGGATTTGTTTGTGTTATTTTTGGCTTTTTTTTTGTTCTGTTTTGTTTGTAAAAAGATGTTGGGATTGTTTTCCCATATGGAGGGCACATTGGTATTTAACAAATCCTTTTTAAAGACTCATCTCATGGTCTGTGATACGGAGAGGTGGATATATGGCCTCATATATGAAATGAGAAGTAGTTAATGTATTATTTTATAAGCCAATCTATCTTTGTGAAAAGAATAAAGGGTTTAATCAGGACTTATGGTAACCTGTAGTGAAATACCTTAAGCTGTTTAACTGTGAGGCGTGGAATAGGAGTCACTCGGTGGATTGGTTGTATGTTGTGGGCTACTTAAGTCTGCATTTGTTACTGTGCTAATAAAAAGATGTTTAAAAAAAGAAAAAAGAGGAAAAAAAGATCTCTGCTTCGTGCCTTGCTTTGTCATTTTGCAAGAACAGTGTCTTCCAGTATGTTTTGAGGATTACAGCATGCATAAGGATGAGGGAGATCTGCAGGTGAGTGCACTGACTGCTGCTATTTTGGGAAGATGCTTCTAGACAAGCATATGACGAAGGACAGCCCAAGACTTTTTCAACTGTTCACTGCGTAAGTGTTGCACAGGCTGGCATGGCCCATGGGGAGGTCACCTGCCACCGAGTCCACGCTGGTTGCTTTTTAGCTGCTTCACAGGCTTGGCTTTTCGGGACCGGCAACTTGAAAAGTGTAAGAGCTCTGGAAGGGAAACAGGCAAGACGTAAAAGGAAGAAGAGAACACATCCATAGTTTTCTGATGGAGTGGTCTATTCCCACATAGAAGAGGAGGAGGAATCGTGTCCTGGTAAGCCAACAGAAGACACCTTAAAGGAGAGTAGAGGAGACTTAATCCGTAGATCCTTTAACTACGAACAAAGATTAGCTCCTAGAGACATGGTGTTTACCCGGAGGTGTGTGCCAACAGGGCGGTTAGTTGTGGATGTGGCATTCGGACCACTCCCTTCAGATAAAGGCCGGAAGTACAGATTCATTTTCACATGGCGAGTACTTCACCTTGCAACATTCATATGAGTGCCCTGTGGTCATCTGTGCTCTCAAATTTGTTTTGGTACTTTAAAATTCTGTATGTATTTTATCTATGTAATTTTCTCCCTATCTGTATGTAGACCAGATCTAACTTGGCCCAAAGGAATCTGTTAACTAGAGGTACCCTTCCTTGGCTGGGTGGCTGTGTGTGGTAGTACGTTAGCCTCATCAGCTGAACTGCCTTCTTTTGACAATACGTTTGTTTTGGTGTATGAGCTCCCTCCGCTGTTTGACTCAGCCTAGGAAAAATATTGGTATATAGCAGTATCACACCAGGAGTGTCTCTAGTAATCACTTCCTTCTCTCCTTTATTGAGTGAGGCGATAAATGGCTTGATCTCAGTAGGTTTTTGTTGGCTCCTGGCTTCGTGCTACGAGGACGTGCCGAATTAACTGTTGTAGCTGGCAGGGGGGAGGGAGCTGATTTGGGGTGACTGATCTGTACACTGTTTATTAAGCAGGATAGAAGTTTAAGGTGAACAGAGAACGATGGTTAAACTTACTAACTTGTTTTTATAATGATTGTTCTCCTTTACCTTGTGACAGAGCTGTCTAGCTTTTTAGTAGAGAAGTAATCCCAGTGACCTAGGGCAGGTTTTGAGTCAGTGGAACAGTAAGAACAAAATACATGTTCTGCCCTTTACGTACTACATTATACTTTGGACTTTACTTATTAACCCAGTGTAAAACTGCATTACAGTGAGTTTCATTTTTACTCCATACCAGCCACTATGTATATATTGTTTGCAGAGGGGACACTACGTTTTCCATCACTTGTCAATAGAATACTCTAGTATTTAGAAAAGGTAATTGATCTCAGTGCTTAAAAAGCATCACAATAAGCTTATGAAAGAAAACAGTGGGTGGTGGTTGTCCATGTGAATGCTCAAAATGATCTAAACTCATTTCTAATTAATTCAACCAAATCAAAGATAATGTGTTTGCCTTTATGTAATCTTTTTGAGAAAAGGGCCTTATTCAGAAGATCCCTTTTCTGCTTACCTTTCTTAAAACATTAAGTCCTCAACATCCAGGGAGTGAGTGAGCAAAGCTGATCTTGCATGATGTGGCTCTGACAGCGTACAGGTGACATGGGTTTTTGCCGTGGAATTGGCATAGAGTCTGTGGGGTGCGGAACTGGGCAGGAACCTGTCACCTCCATCCCTTCCATCTCCACACATTTCAAGTTAATTTCTGATTTGTCAGTCTGCACTGCCTTGGCTCAAGGGTCAGCTTCAGTGGTGATGTGAGGTTAGCAGAGGTCTTTGCTTATTTTGATTGATCCAAAGCTGAATCAAGTCCCTTCTAGAAGGGTTCTGCAGAGCTGACGTGAAGAAATGTAGCCAGTTCCTTGGTGAGGGGTTGCAGCAAGGAGCTGAACCACTGCTGCTCTGAAGTCGCCCCCACTTCCCAAGCACTTCAGGCAGATATCAATGTCTTCTGGGTAGGGAAAAACCCTTGAGTACACGGTGTGCTGAGTAGGAAATGAGTGAGGAGGGAGTGTTCTGCAGCATCTCTGGGGACAATGACTATGACTGGTGAGGTTGCGGGAGGTCATGCTATAGTGCTTACTCAGCTGCAGTGTTGCAAGGGAACCAATTGTATGTTTCTAGCAGGGCATTACAAGAGCTTGCTCATTCATAATTGCTCTCCTATCTTACTCCTTGGCCACAGCAATCCAAACTATATTGAGCAAAGCACATAAACAGTTTCGTCTGCCTTCATTATAAAGGCAGGAATACCTGCTTAATTTTCAGGGAATTCTACTGCTGCCCTGACATTAGTAATGCTGATGGACTTTATTTGTCAGCATTCAGGAAGAGCAATGCTATAAGCACGCATCTTAATTGGGATTATTAAGCACACTTAGTATTTAGCAGTTATGATATGACAGTGCAAATATTGCCTGTGGTTTTGCTGACTCACAGTGAAATTCTCAATATTTGTTCAAGACAACATTTGTTTATTGGAAAATGAGGGAACTGGGCACTTCAGTTCACAGCCTTTCCCCACTCCCATCTTCGAGCTAGTATCAATTAGCGTAAGAGGTTGTCAGAGGCCAAAATGTGTCTGCTCTCTCTGGGAATGGTTGCTCATTCTGTCCCTCTGTATCCAATTTTGTTTAGTTTACTTACGGGCTGACCTAAGGCAGCAGATTCCTGCAGCACAGGTTTGACTCTCACATGGAGAGTCAAATACGACACACAACAACTGTGCTCCTGCTGCTGGATAATGTGCAGCATATTCAGACCAAAGCTGTTTGTACCAGTGTTTCTGGGTGTTCACCATGGGACGTTCCCAAAAGGCAGTCTCCTCCACTCCCTAGCTCCCTCTCACAACAAGTGGTACTGCACTCCATACTGGTTGTTATCCAGCCTGTAGCTTCGTACCAAGAGTGGATTCCTACCGCTGGATAGGACTATTATACAATGCATTATGCAGAGCCCGGGCATACAAACTTGCTCTCTATAATTTCTCAGTGAAATTACCACCTATGTAAATGTGACTGATTTGTACGGGACGTGCTGGAACAAAACCATGTACAGCTATGTTGTCCTTCAGGTCACAGTTAAATTAATTGAGTGCTCTGAGAGCTTTTCTGGTTTGTACTAATAAATTCCTGAGCTGAAAGCACTATTTGCCAGACTGTGCTGACCAACTTCATGTCAGGGTAGATCTGTTCTAGCATCTCCCACAAGATTTTCTTTATTTTGTTTTATTCCAGATACTAGCAGAACTTAAGTGACTAAATCTGCTGGTAGTTGTTCTTCCTGCCCCAAACCCTTCTGCAACAACACACTGACCTGAGCCTCCTGCAGCATCAAAAAGCCCCATGGCTCTGTTGAAGGTCAGAGTAAAAGGACTGTTGCTATTTCAAGCATATCCTCTCTCCAAATTGAATGCTTTATTGCAGCTAGTACTATTTGCCACTAGAAGCTATAGATCTGCAGGGGGATTGCTTAATGACAACCTTGTCTGATTTGTCCCTCAACATGGCTCTATCAGGCATAGTCAAAGCCCCTGCTAGAGAGGTGTCCACCTGTCCCTCCCTCCTCCGTAACCCTTGTTGCAAGGTAACTCCTCTCAGGAAGTGCGTTTTAAGGCTTTTACCACCAGTCCGTGAGAAGGAAGGATACTTCTTAGCCATAAGCTTGCTGATTTTATTGCTGAATGAGATTATTGCTTTAAGTGAAACTGCTAGAAGCAAATGGCACAGAAAGGACTTAGGCTGCGACCTGGCGGCAGCAGAGAATGCTAAATTAGCTTAGTTATCACAGTTATTCCCTTTGCTCTTCCTTCCAGGCAAGGGAAATGTTGATTTGTTCTGGGACTGTGAGAGTTTACTAGCTAAGAAGGTGAAGGGCTCAAGCAGCGTTTTCCGATCTGTCACAGTCACTTCCCACAGTCTCACTTTCTCGGCCCTTGCCCATTGCTGTGCTGCTTCTGCATCCACTTGCCTTTGGTCCAGGAGGTCAGTTTTGTTTCCCAAGACAATAACTGTTACCTATAAACAAAACAAAAGGTTGAGCTTTGTACAAAGAGCATCCAGCAGTCACAGTGCTTTTAAAGAGCAGGCAAACAGCAACACAGTTCAGACCTCTTCTTAACACAGGCACAAGGTAAGATGTGTGAAGTTTGGAAGATTCAAGGTCTGGGATTTGAATTAGCCTCATCTACTACTTGTGGGCTGGGAGCTGGTTTTAATCATAGGATATGCAGGATTTCCCCTCCCCCAGTTTCTTAAGGGGAAACAATACCCTAGAGAGTTGAAGTTAAACAGTCCTGTTCTCCATTTACTTGGCAATTGAGCTGCCTTAGACAAATGATAAGAGCGTGACATCTGAGTAGGTCAGAGCAGTGGATGCTTGAGAGATGAAAATGCACGTGGCAGCAGAGAAAGCCTGAGCCCCACAGCTGGATTTTGCCCAGCTTGTTTCTGCCCCCAGCTCACAATGTAAACAAAGCCAACCGTGCCACAAGGCAGCCTGTGCCAGCAGCCCGAGCAGGCTGAGCTGTTGTGTCCCTCTCATCTCTACACTAGTAGTTTGACAAAGATCAAGTGATAAGGTCTTCTCTTGTTGATTATTTGGGGGTTTTGCTGTGGCCACACCTGCTTGCTCTTTCCTGTTCATCAGGCTAACTCCAGGATGTCTTCTGTTTCTTTCCAGCTAGAGATGTTTGTCCTGTTCCTGTGAGGTCTGAGGCTTCCTTTTTTTTCTCTAACAGTCCAGGGTGTTTGGGAAAAAATGTTTCTTCCCTCTGCAAAGGCTTTGAAAGAAGCTATAATCTTCACGTGCATTTACCACACTCTCCAACTGAATTTTACCTATACTTGAGCTGTCACTATGAAAGAACAGAATCTCTATTTAGTATAAAATTTGTCCAGGCTTTAAGGTACGTGCTGGAGAGCCCCCACAGCCAGCAAAGGCAAGGAACCAGCCATCAGTGCTTTCTGTCTTCTGCCACACAACAGGGGACTGTGCCAATCAAGAAGGTGAAGTTCTGCCAGCTCAGAAGCACCACGTGTGAAGATACATCCCTAATTTGTTTAAGGATGCACTCTAGCAGAGCCCAAACTTTAAACCCGCTGATACTGTCTTAAGGTAGGACTCCTGATATCACCAGCTATGCTTCAAAGCCTGGTTATTATGGACTAGAACTCACAGGAATAAAACTAATTTATCCAGCCTATTGTGAGCACTACTCTTTCAACTGTGTTATCCTCAGTCAAGATCACAACTTTAAGCTATCCCAGAGGATAATCGAATTGGCCCTGCTGGGGCTGTGACTCCCTCTACCTTACAATATGCTGTAAAGTAATAAATTGGGGTCCTCACAAAACATGGTGCCTGGGAAAAATTTCCTGCTTGTCCACCTTTCCTTGCCCTGCAGGGCAGTTCTGATTGACTCCCATATCCCTGTTATATGTGACATTCTGCAGCTCACAGCAGCCCTACCAGCTAACATACCTCTCCTGTGACTGCACGTTTGGCTGCTGTCAAACTTGGAGCCTGCCTTCCTCCACCGCTCTCTGTGCTGTCAGTACTAAACAAGTTACATTTTTGGAAAGTCTCTCCCTAACATTATCCAATTAATTCTTCATGATTTTTTTTTTTTTCTTTTAACAGCATAAACCAGACGTTTGGAAAGCTGTGGGCTAAAGACATTTAACAGGGAAAGCTACTCGAGAATATAAAGATACTGTAGGAAACGCCATAATACTAATGCCACATGCAAGTTATATTTGTTTAGCTAAGCTGGAACACTGTCAGCTGAAAACACTAGCTGCTTTCTAAGGGAAAATAGAGCAGTCATTTCACACAATTGAATTGATTCAATATGGTTGTTAAAATACATTAAAGCTGCTTTGCCAATTGACTAATGTCTGGGAGACCCATTGTCAATTACACTAGTTTGTAAGCCATGGAGTACATGAATACAAAACAAACAAAGATAATGCCCTTCGTTATATTATTCCATGCACTTGACTTCCCGTATACAATATCTAAAAAAAACATATGAACCACACTGCTGTAGACCATATGTTTTATTAGTCATAAGTGTCCTGGCTGGTGCATTCAGCTAACTGAATTTTAGCTGCAGCAGAGGAAGCAAGAAGCGAAAAAACCAACACATTCTTTTGCGTGACCTGCATGACATGTGAATTAGGCTTTCCCAGCATGAGAAAGCTTCCTTTGGCTGTGGGTACCTTTGTTTTCTTCTGCATGCGAGTTTTACAGAAATAAAAATCTATGCTTTGCAACCTCAACTTCCTATCACTGATAAAGCGATAAGCCAAGCAGTTATGGCACCACGCATTTACCTCCTTTTTGTCTCTAAAGACATCGATCTCCTTTTTGAGCAGTTCGACTCTTTGAAAAGCTTCGAGGCTGGTCACGGCGTACACGAGAACGAAGCCATCAGCGACAGAGAAATAGTGTTTTGGCAGTTCTACGCCCTCCTGCAGACCCCTGGTGTCATAAAGCCTTAACTGTTCCTTCACGCCTCGGTCTGTCTCCACCGACGCCAGATACACATCTTCCATTGTGGCACCCTCTTCTAAGCCTGTTTTAAAACAAGCAGGGAAGTTCAGCCGGTGTAAGTACAGCACCACTATAAGAAGAAGTTGCCAAATCGCAGAATTTTACCCCAGAATAGCTTTCAGTGCACGTTTTCCAAAGTGACTTGACCTGGACGCGACTTTGCTGTTTGTAATAACAGCCAAAGAACACCAGATAGTCAAGTACTAATATCTTGAACCTACTCCTTTGCTTCGTACTGAGCTGGATCATATGACAGAAGCAGGAGCTGAAGGAATAATTCTGGAAATGGATGTGTGTTACTGGTACAACTGACCAACTAGTGAAATTGAGCCAAGAGGGGAAGGGGATATATGCATTCAAGCAAATTTGTATGGTATATTTACTGAAATAACACAGTGAGCTTTTTCTATCCCTCAGGGATGGAAATGACTAAGATTTGCTAATTGGAGCAAGGTCCTTTATTGAAAGGTAAGAGCATTCACAAGGTAACAAGGTTTCATATATATATGACCTGCTCCATAGTAACTATCTACATACCAACTCTCCTTCCTTCCTCTCCTCATGTGAGGTAATCCAAGGTAGCTTGCTTTGAACTAATTAAAATTATTTTTTCCAAGCCCAACCTGAAAATACATAGATCACCTTAGCGTTGTGTTCCCTCCTGGATGCAGGTGTGTAAGGTTACAGGTCCCAACAAACTATGCATAGTGTAGCTGGGCCACTTTCAGTCCATTTAAAGTATTTGTATAAACCCTCTGCAATACACGTTTTTGCCTCCACTGCGTGCCTGTATACATGAGTTGTTTGCCATCGCTGGGCTGCAATAATGGGTCCTGTATTATTCTCTTTGCCAAAAAGGGACCATATTACAGCATTGTTTAAGAAAACACAAGGGATTATCTGGCCTGTGAAAATAAGGATTTTGCTATATTCAGTGACGCTATTCAAAATGGTTCACATTGACAAACAAGCTAAAGCATTCCACCCACGCTGATGATTTCCCATGATGTATGCAGCATTCCTGTGCAAGAAAGTGGCACAAGTGGTTCTTTTGGCCCGTCTCTGTGAAGCCTTCATAGATCAAATTCTTATTTGGTTTGCAACAAATTAATTTATCTCACCTCCAAATATAGCCATGCTAATGTGTGGGAGCAAAATGACAAAACAAAGGTTAATCAAAAGATGAAACATGAACGCCTTCTGTGTGGTTGGAGAATGTGGTTACGAGGGTATGTTTAAAGACCAAGGTAGGTAACAGAGCCCTTTCTGGATATAGCACTGTATTTTCTCTTGCTCTGCCTCGTTCCCTTGTACAGACAGGTCAAGGAAATATCTAGCATCAGTAAATACTACTTTGGCAAGAAGGAATGAACCACAAGAAGCTAAATTTTCTTTTTAGAAAGCAATGAATAACATGGTCCAAGTTTTTATCATCTAAATACTGCACTGTAATTCAACAGTCTTAAATCTATCCATGCTCTCCTGTGACAGACTCTTCCTCACAGCATTAAAAGTCGCAGTGAAAATTAGGTGTTTTAACATCCTACTTGAAAACGAAGAAGAAAAATTAAGACCTGAGACCTAAGTCAGCAGAACAGAGTAAGAAATTTTGATGTGAAATGGGAGGGCACTTTGGAGGGACCTGGAATTTAAGCATCAGTATCAGATTCCAGAGGTGAAATTTCACCTATGTGCATTGGAGGAGGAAGTATATGCAAGTAGATCCTTAAGGAGACACAGATAATTTTTAGAAACACCTGTCACCTTACTTTAGGCCCTGCTTCTAAACTCTAGAGCACGCACTAGCTGCATCTTGCTGACAATGATATTTCCGCTTCATGTTAGTACCATCCCATTCAAACACTCTCCTGGGCTCCTTCCAAACACGTGCCAGGCAGGCTGTACAAGCAGCAAAACCAGTCAGGAAAAGCCCTGTGTCCTAGGACAGTGTCCCAAGGACCCCGGTTCTCCTTTCCTTCCCTGGCATCCCCAGGCATCCTCCCGCTTTTGCTACCTGGGTGGCAAGGGCAGCTTGTTCTGGGGAGTTACTGCCCTGCAGGCTGCTGCTGCCGGCTCAAGTAGGTATTCCTTGGAGGAGAGCATTACCATGGGCCTTTTATCTCTTTCCTGATACCAGTTTTTCTGAATGTTCAGAAACATTTTGAGATATCTGCTGCTGTGACAGAGCTGAACGGGCAGATGGAACCAACTTTCTTTAGCTATGGGGGGAAAGAGGAACACAATGAACAATCTCGTGACTTCTTTGGAAGCCAAAGATGAAAAAAAGGGAGGGAGAGAAAGGAGGAAGAGACAGGAGATTGATGACATTCTCTAGCACCTACTTAGCTGGTGCAAGTCTTGGAGGAGGCAGAAGGGTCAGTCTGTGTTCCTGACTGCTGCCACAGAGGAACTGCAAAGGGGAAGCCTCAGTCATAAACTGGGTGACGTTTCAGCCCCTTGTGGTTTCCCAATGAGGAAAAGAAAAGGCTTGACATACTAATGAATACTGCATGCTCGAGCTAGGCAAGGCAGAGCTATTGAAAATACCAAAATAAAGCAAAATTTCAAGATAGATGGAATTTCAGGAGTTCCCAACTTGACTCGAACATAAAAGCAGGGCAAATTTTGTGTCTTCTTGAGTACTTTTGAATATGTCCTATGTGATCTCTCCTTACCTCTCTCCCGCAGAAATTCAGTAAAGAGCTCCTACAGCCTGCTATTCCTTGTGTTCATAAACTGTGGGATAACAAGCTTTGCTTCCTCAGGTCTCAAATGACAGCATATTGGAGGATCCCTGAGTTGGAGAAGTGCTGGACAGGCCTAAACGGGAGCTGGTCTACCTAGATTTAGCAGCTTGTTAAGTAGTGGTCCCATGGACCAGTAGCCACGGTTGTGACCCTCAGTGGCACACATTCAGGTCCATTTTCATCTGTTTCTAAAGTGCAAAGCTGACTGCAGCTCTATCAGGAGGTAGTTTTGATTTAAGAAACAAAGATGTAAGAATGCATAATTTGGTTAATAAGCCTCCACATCTTGGGAGCTGTGAAAGCCAAAACCCCAAATCCCTCCAGCTGAGGCCAGGCAAGGCAAATTCTCTCATTATTGGTTCTGCCACAGGTATATACGGTGTTTTCAATCCTAGCTCTTAAGATGATTTGAGGTAGCTGCTCATGAATAACCTGACCATACCACCTATTTACATAGCCAGGAGGCAGAGATAACGAAAATCATGTTTTCTACAAGAAGAGTTCTCATCTCCTCCTGTTGAGCTAATAAGCTTTACCATAGGCTGAGAGGCCAGAGATACTTTAAAGGTAGAAGAAAGACTCCTTTCTGCACTATCACTGAGCAGGGACACCGTTTGACAAAAAATACCTATCTTCTTTACGGACCTGTCCCGTGCCAAAGTTAAACCAGCAACTCTGCCATTAGCCCTCTCAAGTCTTGCAATTTTAAAGCCTAACACAAAAACCACTACCACAGATTGTTGCTCGCACACTCCAGGGAGACGGATACTCCTTTTCAATGGGTATTCCTCCCTCCCAAGTACTTATTCCTCTTTGATCTCAAGCAGTCTTAGTTCCTTTGCAAGAGTGCTAGCTCCTGACTTTGTAAGCAACAGCAGCACTTAGGGACTTGATCCATGACAAGCCAGGGGGAGCTGAAGGTGCACACCTTTCTAGGAAAAGAAACAGCGCAGCTGGGTTTACAGCACCATCACCAAGCACACAGCAAGGAGTGTGGGCTCAAAGCCAAGGCTTTATATAGCAGCATGATTCCTCCAAGGACACTAATTGCTTCCCTGATAGCAGCTGTGACACTACTCCTTTTTACAGGAAAGTCAACAGGAGGCACACGAGTGCTGACGTAGACTCACTGCTGATCTACAGCCAGGAGACCCCCATATCAGTGGCTGGGGCACCTCAGAGGGCACCAGATCTTGTGCTCTGAACCTACAACCAAGTTCTAGGACACCTCTTGTCATGGGGAGGAGGATGTGGATGCCGTCAGGAACAGAGACGCTCCGTGCGTTGGCTCAGCAGTCCTCCCCGTGGCTCCCCAGCCCTCAGACTGGCTGCAGAGCTGCTCCTGACGTCAGTCAGGAAGCACAGGTTTTGAAACAGCTTGTGTCCATGCTGCCATACCTGCTGAGCTGCCTTGCTGCTTGGCTCTGAACAGACAGGCTTTCAGCAAACACTCTAGTCTCTTTTGCCTCCTGCCAAAAAGGCCAGCAGCCAAGATGTACATGTCAGGTTGCTGGAGCTCACAAGCCTTAGGAAACGAGGATGGAGATTCAGTAATCATGTTTTAAGCGTGGAGGGGCCACCCCTGCAACTGTAGCATCAGCAATGGGTCTGTGCTGTTTAAAACAGCTCAGCTAAGGAGCAGACTCCCCATTCCTGAAACCCTGTCCTTGCCCAGTGACACCCTCACAGTGATGTCCTGCCTCCACAGTTCGAGAGCTAGAGCAATACAGATTGGAGCAGTAGCTAAAGATCTGCTGGGAACCATTTTCACCAGCCCAAAGTTCTGCCAGAACTGCCTATGGGCTGAGGAAGAGGCAGGGAGGATGGTGGCAGCTCAGCAGAACTGCCAGAAACACCATCGTATCAGTCTATCCTCCCAAATGTGCCTGATGGCACACACAGGTGATATCAAAAGTGCTGAGCCATGGCCGCTCATCTGTTGCTGCTGTGGCTCTGCCTGAGCCCCCTCCATACTCTGATCTTGCCCCTGCTATTTGCCCTCTTTCTCTGAATGTCTTGGGAATAAGATTTTACCAAAATCATAGAAAGCAGGAGACTACCTTCTTTCTTCTCCCCTTGCACCTCCACTCCGCTATCAGCTGCTCCCTCTCTTGCAGTTAAGTTTAAAAAATAAGAGCAGAGCTGCCTGAAAAGTAAACCGATCTTTTTAACAGAGGTGGGGGAAAGTCTGCATTGCACAGTGGCCGAGCTGGGAGAGGCAGAGGGACACCCACAGCTCAGCCCTGGGCACGAGGCCTCCCTCCAGTTATGTCAGCCAGTATGCATGACGCTGTATAATCGTGTATACGGCTGGCTCCATAAATAGCTCCTCTGATCAGCAACACCTGAATATCCTTCCTGCCTGAGTCGCTAATGGGAGCTGAGGGCAGGAAGTAATGCAAGGCAATACGATTCAAGTAATGTGGCCTCGCTCCTGCTGCTTGGGTGTCTCTGACAATCACCCAGCCCGGCACAGAGGAGAGGCAGATCGGTAGCGAAGGGAAAAAAAAGCCTTCAGCCCACAGGTTTTGCAACCTTCATGCTGAAAGCTACACAGGGCTACGTGCGTAGGGCTCAGTAGGATGCTGGAAACAGATGTTGCTCCAACATTAGAGGAAATCCTCCCTTTAAACAAGGGTATTATCACGCAGTTCTAGATCACGCTTTGCCAGCAAATTCCTCCCCTCCACAAATTTTAAAGGCATAGCGCCTGCCAAGCAGTGGTCTAGAAATCCTAGTGTTTATCCAATAATTCAACCCAACATTTAAGGAAAAGATGCGAATTGACTGGACATCTTCCTTCAAAGACCTGAGATTCAGCCCTGGTGCCACCCCCTTGTGTCAGGGTGAGACAGGTATAATTTGTCAGCCTGCTGATCCTTGCGCTTCCTTTCAAAACCAAGTCATGTGGAAACAGAGGGAAACAAGCTGGCTTTGCCTTCGTCCCCTTTCTTTTGTGCACAGCAAGTCTCAGACTCGTGTCTCGAGTCTATTTTCCAAGGGAGGATTTCTCTGAGAGCTGAGAAGCTTGGCCCTTGAAGTTGAGCACAGAATGTGGGACCTAAAGCTGAGCTGTTTTTCCTTCCAGCGCTTTGATTCAATATTAGTCAAACCCAAGCAAAATAAAGCTTTAAGAAGATGGAGCAGAAGTCTAAACAGTCCCTCTGCTCGTCATGTGACATCTGTTTATTTTTCAGGCACCCACAGCATCTTTCAGGGAACGAGGTATTTCTTATGTAAATAGGCAGCAAGCACATCACCTACTTTCTGTGTTTGTTTCTTTTTAAACATCACATATTTTATAACTGGGAACATCACAGAAAGGGTTCTCCAAGCCTCATTTAAAAATTGGCAAGTAAGAGACTACGAATTTCAAGAACTGCCCAGATTAATTTCCTCCTCCACCTCTGTGCAGTTTGTGGTCCTTGGCTACTGGGTGTTTTTGGGGGGGACCACACAGAACAAGATGCTGAAAAAGGAAACAATCTCCCCCCACCCCCCCAAAAAAAAGGAAAAAATATCTCACCAACAGTATGCTTTCCATAGAGAAGCTGCTCCAAAATCGCAGTCTTTCCCACTGAGGCCATTCCACAAACCACCACCTTGTAGCCCTTGCCCATCTTTCCTGAGGGGACAGGGTCAGCCGGCGAGCCCTGGGCAGACACAGGGGTCTGTTAGCCCGCCTGGAGGCACAGCTCAGCACCCTGCGGGAGGGGAAGCCCACCGAAGGCGAGAGGCAAAACACGAAGCAGCAGCGGGTGGCTCGGAGGCACAGCTCCCTCCCAGGCACTCACCAGCGACTGATATTTTTAGGACCAGGGTTTCCTCCCGCACCATTTTTTTAAAGGTTTTAGGCTGCTGCATTGGTGTCAGTGCTTGCCGGCAGCCTCGACGCTTGCTCTGTCGGGCTCGGGGAGGCTGTTTGAGAGCACTGAGGTGTGTGAGCCCTCCGGGACAGGGGCTGTGTTTGCTGAACACTGCAAGAGTTGTGTCATTGGTATCCATGGCTTTGCTGCGGGCCTGATGTTATCAGCCCACAAAGTTGGTTCCTTCCTGTTTTATTTGATGCACAGAAAATTTCCAGCTATTACAGACCAGGAGCTGGAAAATCGGAGCGCTAAAGGCTGAAGCACAGGAAAGCAAAAGCAAAAGCAGCGTGGGTTTTTTTTTCGATCTGCTTCAAATCATTTTGGGTGGGAGGGGGTTGGCTTTAGCAGGAGGCCTTGAGAAGCCAGGGGCAGGTCCCTCTGGGGGGTGGTGGGCCCCAGCTCTGGGTTCGCTATTGGGAGCAGTTTGCCACAGCGAGAGCTGAAGGTACCTTGTCAGGACCAGGAGGTGCTGGCGTCGTCCTGCCTCGATTCCACTTTAAGCAGGAAACCCTTCACAAGCCAGGGTGCTCTGCAAGGCACACACGAAAAAACGGCAAGGTCACCCCAGAGCCGCAGGGAGATGGGGGGACATCCATGCAGGGGAAGCTCCAATTCCCGTTTTGATTCCCCCACAGGGCCCAATGTCTCCACAGCAGCACGCTGGGAATGCGCCAGAGAGAGGGGGCAAAGGTCCTCCCAGCCCCAGGCCCCTACCCCTGCTCCTGCAGAGCGCCCTCTGCACATGGGTGTCCACCTGCCCCTGCACACTGAAAGGGGTCTGGGGTTGGGTTTAGGGCTTTTTTACCCTGGGATTTATTATTTATGAAATAATAACAACAGTAATAATAGTAATAATAGTAGTAGTAATAGTAGTAATAATAATAATAATACTTTTAAAGGGTTCTTTTCAGGAT